TTCCAATATAAACAATGGTGGATTTTTAGATCCAAACAAACACTTTGGGGAGAATTTTTAAGGGCCAAATACTGTGAAAGATCTAACCCGATTAGTAAAAAATGGGATACGGGTGATTCTCTGACCTGGAAACATCTTATGCATAACAAACATAAAGTGGAAGAACATATTCAATGGAAACTCAATTCGGGAAGCTGTTCTTTTTGGTGGGATAATTGGCTTGGCATTGGACCTCTTGCGCAATTCTCTGCTGACAGTAACAGACTCTATAACACTACCGTAGCAGAATTTTGGCATGACAGACAGTGGAACTAGAGCATGCTCATCCAGCAGGCACCCAGCAATCAATTAACCAACATCCTATCCACAGAACTTCACATTCAGCAGGGCATCCCCGACCAAGCTATCTGGAAACTCAGCACTGATGGCAAATTCAGTTGCTCCTCTGCGTGGAATGATATTAGGGAGAAGAGATGCAAGACAAAATTCAACTCCCTCATTTGGCACAAGAGTATCCCTTTTAAATCTTCTTTTCTTTTGTGGAGAACCTTAAGAGGTAAACTTCCTACTAACGAGAAACTAACCAGTTTTGGCAGTGAGCCAGCCAATTGTTTTTTTTGTTGTAACAGGTCAGGTATGGATACAGTCGAGCATACCTTCAACAATGGACAATCTGCTACCTATGTGTGGAAAAGCTTTGCTGCAAATGTCGGAATCACCACGATTACAGCTCCCTACATCAACTCATCATGCAATGGTGGTCAGCTAAATACAATAATGAAGCACATAGGCTATTACTACAAGTTACACCAATATTCATTTGTTGGAACCTATGGAAGAATAGATGTGCTAGCAAATACGGAGGCAAACAATCCAATGTTAGTAGGGTCAAATTGCAGTTTACAAGGACAATTACAAGCTCATGACCACAACGTTTCCTCACATCAAATGGCCTTCGAATTGGAGGGACCTGATCCAACTAGGGGAAAAATGTGTGCATGATATCAAAGTGACCCTTGTTAAATAGACAAAACCTCTTAATCAGTGGGTAAAAATCAACACGGATGGCAGTGCACTAAGTAATCATGGGAGAACCTGAGCAGGAGGTATCATACGGGATCAGGCTGGAGAAATGATACTCTCATTTGCCACTCCGTTTGGGGGAAGTACTAATAATCAAGCTGAATTAGAAGCAGCGATCTTCGGGATGACCTGGTCCTTAGAATTAGGTCACAGGAAGGTCCTTTTGGAGGTAGATTCACAGCTTCTAGTGGACTGGATATTGCATAAAGTCAACCCGCATTGGAGCATAAACACACATATAGAGAAATTGCAGGCTCTTATTGAACAAACAGACGAGTTTAAATGCAAGCACACCTTCAGAGAAGCCAACTTTGTTGCTGATTCCCTTTCAAAACACAGGCAGACGATCACGAGCCCCTAACTTTATTTCAATAATCATCAATTACCAAAAGAAGCAAGAGTTTACTACAAACTAGACTTGCTAGAAAGGAAAATTAAGAGGATTAAAGAACCGCCTTGAGAATGCTGCAACCTTTTCAACCTAGCTATAGTTTAAAATTATAGATCCATTGAATAGGTTTTTTGTTGATTTTGTAAAGGGAGAGTCTCCCTTTTTTATGATTCCTAGATTCTATGTATTGAGAGGAGTCCTCTCTTTTAGGTACTTAGTATCTTGGTTTACCATTTTTGTATAGGGATGAGTTGACTATCCCTTGAGGAAGGTCGACTACTGAACCACCATAGGTCCGGAGGTTAGGTTTATGTCCCCCTCCTTGTACTTTTGCTTTTATTTATGATAAGGCCTGGGGGTGTTGCTCATCCCCTACCCCTCCAAGGGTAGTTAAAAAAAAAAACTACACCCTAAACACTAAACCCTAAACCATAAACCCAAAATACTAAACCCTAAACCCTAAACCCTAAACCCATAGACCCTAAACCCTAAACCCTTGGCATTGGAATGAGACACTGTTAAGACAGGACCCCCCCTCCTCCATTTGATCCCAAAAATCTTGATTTACAAATTTCATTACCAGCCAGGGATGCTAGATGAGGCAGTGTGGAAACCTACTGGTAATGGTGAATTCTCATGTGCATCAGCCTGGCAGATCTGCAGACAGAAAAAAAACAGCAACAAAATTAACTCCTACATATGGCACAAACATGTACCATTAAAAATATCCTTTCTCGTTTGGAGGGCTATGAGATACAAACTTGCCACAAATGAAAAGATCATTACATTTGAAGCAGATACTGATGGTAGTGCGCTCAACAACCCGGGCAAGATAGGAGGAGGGGGAATCTTGAGAGATCATAGGGGTGAGCTAGTGTATGCCTTTTCTATACCTTTTGGGAATGGCTCCAACAACTAGGCCGAGACTCTAGCAGCCTCATATGGTATTGAGTGGTGCTTACAACATGGCTACAAGAAAATATTGCTAGAGGTGGATTCAGAACTCCTTATGAGATGGTTACAGCTCACTGCGAAACCTCCCTAGCAGCTGCATCAATCAATTCAGGAGCTTATTAATTGTACGAGGCAACTGGATTTTTTCAGGTGTCAACATACCTTCAGGAAAGCAAACTCCACAGCAGACTTCCTATCCAAAAGAAGCCACAAAACCGATATAGTGCAACATTATTACATTGTCCAGGAACTTCCAGCAATAGTCAAAAGAAGCTATTTATTAGAACGAATGGGGATATCACATTTCAGAAGAAAGAAATTAAAGAGAATCAAGCGACCTCCATGAATCTTTTCCTTTGAATAATAAAGATCTTGTTTTCAAGTCCTTAACACACTGGCTATTGTTAGGTTTAGCTCACCTTAGACCTTATTTGTCTTTTCTTCTAATGATGTAAAGGGAGAGTTTCCCTTGTTTATGCATTACTAGATTATTGTATAGAGATGAGTCCTCTCTTTAGGATTTTTCTAGTTTCTCTTTATTGTAAGGGAATGAGAGGTCTTTCCATAGTAGGAAGGAGTACTCAGAACCACCTCAGGACCGGAGGTAAGGTTTTATGCCCCCCTCCTTGTACCTTTTTTGCTTCATTAATGTTAAGGCCTGGGGTGTTGCTAAGCCCCTGACCGTCGTTAGGAAAAAAAAAAAAAAAAAACCCTAAACCCCTTAACCATACACCCTAAACATGAAACAATAAACCCTAAAACCAAAATCCCAAACTCTAAACCCTAAACCCTAAAGATACCCTAAACCCTAAACCGTAAATCGTAAACTATAAACCCTAATCAATAACCCTAAACCCTAAACCCTAAATCCTTAACACTAAACCCTACATACTAAATGCAAAACCCTAGACCCTAAACCCTAACCCTTAACCCTAAACCCTAACCCTAAATCCAAAACCCTAAACCTTAATTCCTAAACCATAAAACCAAAACCTTCAACCCTAAACACTACACCTTAAACCCTAAACACTAAAATCCTAAAACCTAAACCCTAAACCCTAAACCCTACCCCTTAAATCATCAACTCTAAACCCTAAACCTTAACCCTAAACTCTAAACCCTAACTGTTAAACCCTAAACCCTAATTCCTAAACTCTAAACCCTAAAACACAACCCTAAACCGTAAACCGTAAACCCTAAATCCTAAACCCTAAAACCTAATCCCTAAATCCTAAATCGTAGCCCTAAACCATTAATCCTAAACCCAAAATCTAAACCTTAAACCATAAACCTATATATTAAATCCTAAATCTTATATTTTAAACCATGAACCCTAAACCCTATATCCTAAACAATAAACCCCAAACAATGAACACAAAATCGTAACCGTAAATCCTAAACCCTAAATCTTAATTACTAAATCCTAAATCCTAATCCCTAAACCCTAAACCCTAATCCCGAAACCCAAAATACTAGACCCTAAACATTAAACCCTAACCCTAACCCCTAACCCCTAAACCCTGAACCCATAAACCCGAAACCCGAAACCATAAAACCTAAACCCTAACCCTAAACCCTAAATCCTAAATTCTAAACCCTAAACTCTAACCCCTACCCATAAACCCAAACCCCTAAACCTTATAACATAAACCTTAAACCCTAAACCAAAAACCTTAAACCCTTAACCCTACACCCTAAACCTATAACCCCTAACTTATAACCCTAAAACCTAAACCCAAACCCTAAACCCGAACCCTAAACCCTAATTCCTACACCTTACACCCTAAACCCTAAATCCTAAACACTAAACCCTAAACCTAAACCGTAAACGATAATCCATAAATCATAAACTCAAAACCCTTAAAACTAAACCATAAACCATAAACCATAAACCCTAAACCCTAAACCCTAAACTCTAAGGCCTAAACACTAAACACCAAACCCTAAGCCCTAAACAACAAACCCTAAACCATGAACCCTAAATTCCAAACCCTAAACTGTAAACCATACAGCCTAAACTTAACCCTAAACCCTAAACCTAAATCGCAAACCCTAAACCCTAAATACTAAAGTAAAAACCCTAAATGTTAAAGCCTTAAACTCAAATCCCCAAACCATAAACCCTACACCCTAAACCCTAAACCATAAACTCTACACCCTAAACCCTAAACCCTAAAACATGAACCCAAAATAATAAACCCTAAACCCAAAACCTAAACCATAAACCCTAAACCCTAAACCATAAACCCTAAACCCTAAATCCTAAATCCTAAACCCTAAACCTTAAATCAAAAACCCTAAACCCTAAACCCTAAAGCCCAAAATCTAAACCCTAAATCCCAAACTCTAAACACTAAACCTTAAACCCTAAACCCTATACCATAAACCTTAAACCCCAACCTCTAAACCTTAAACCTTAAACTCTAAACCCTCAACCCTAAACCTTAAACCTTAAACCTTAAACCTTAAACTTTAAACTCTAAACCCTACACCCTTAACCTTAACCCTAACCCTAACCCTCAACCCTAAAGCCAAACCCCCAACTCCTAACCCTTAACCCCTAAACCGAAAATCCAAAACCCTAAATCCTAAAACCTAAACCCTAAACACTAAACACTAAACACTAACCCCTAAGACCTAAACACTATACCCTAAACCCTAAATCAATAACTCTAAATCCTAAATCCTAAACCCTAAACCTTAAATGCTAAACCCCTAAACCAAAATTCCTAAACTATAATCCCTAAACCCTAACCCGTAACCAAATACACTAAACCCTAAACCCTAAAATCTAATCCCTAAACCCTAAACTTTAGCACTAAACCATTAATTCTAAACCCAAAACATAAACCCTAAACCCTAAAGTCAAAACCCTAAATCATAAACCTTAAACCCCGACCCTAAACCCTAAATCATAAACACTTAACCCTAAACCATAAACCTAAAACCCTAACCTGACACCCTAAACCCTAATCCCTAACCCCTAAATCCTAAACCTTAAACCCTAAACCCAAAACCCGAATCCCTAAACCATAAACCCTAAACCAGAAACCATAAACCCTAAACCCTAAAGCCTAACCTTAAACCCAAAACCATAAACCCTAAACCATACTATTAAACACTAAACCTTAAACCCCTAAACTCAAACCCCTATAACCTAAACCGTAAACTCTAAGCCTTAAACCCTTAGCAAAAAATCCTAAACTCTAAACCCTAAACCCTAAACCATAAATTCTAAACCACAAAGCCCAAAGCCCAAACTCTATACCCCAAATCCCAAACCCCAAACCTAAACCCTAAACCCTATATCCTAAACCTAAACCCTAAACCTCAAATGGTAAACCCTAGAACCTAAACCTTAAATCCAAACTACAAACCCTAAACCCTAAAAAATAAACCCTAGCCCTAAACCTTAAACCATAAACCCTAAACCCTAAACGCTAGCCTTAAACCATTAATCCTACACCCAAAACTGTAAACCCTAAACCCCAAATACTAAACTTAATACCAAAACCCTAAACCCTAAACCCTAAACCTTATACCTAAAACCCCAAACCCCAAACCCCAAACACCAAACCTAAATCCTAAACCTAAACCCTAAGCTCCAAACCGTAAACCCTAGACCCAAAACCTTAAATATAAACTATAAACCCTAAACCCTAAACCCTAAATCCTAAATCCTAAGCCATAAACCCTAAACCCTAAATCCTAAATTATAAACCATAATCCCTAAACTCTAAATCCTAAGAACTAAACCCAAAACCCTGAATCCTAAACACTAAACCCTAAACTATACTCCCTAAACCCTAACCCTAAATCCTAAATGATAAACCCTAAACCCTAAACCCAAAACCCTAAACCC